CTTCGTATTTTCCCCGTGAGCGCGTGTTGTCGGCATCGGGTACTACAAAGGGTGGCATCACTCTAAACCGAAGGACATTGAGGCGCCCTAGGCGAACCAGGCGCACGAGAAAGAAAACGAACCTCGCAGCTGCCGAAACGTGGTTTTTATATCGCGTTGATCCCGCCGCTCGTCCGGTAGCAGCCAGCCAACGTTGCAAGGCAGCGGAGCAGCGGGGATGCCTTGACTTATTCCGGAGAAACTGTACAAGAATATCAAACTTTCGATTCATTTGCTTACGTTGGAACGAAATCATTTCTAAACGTTGCCATTAAACTGAGAATATACTCGTTCAAAAGAGATCTCAGCAACCGCACCCGTCGTGACGTCACAAAGTTAGTTCCTATGGCCGCCATACGTGAAGTCAAGCCAAGAAATTGTTCCTTTTTGCTTCTGCGGTTCCGCAGCGCATTCGCGACATTTCGAGAGAAGTGGTCGTGTTTTATGGTCATTGCGCTAAAGTAAACAAAAACGGTAGGGTGCACGTTCTCTCGATGTTAAAATCGTTCGTGGGCCATTTATGTTCGGGATTTACGCGACCGATTGAAGTATTTCTGGCGGGCTATTGCTTTCATGCGATTCCTATTCGTACTGTAAAAACGAGTTAACACAGTCAGTACCCCAGAGCGTCTTTTGAAGCGAGGTGTTGAGCTGAACTGACAGTGCTTAAAACTGCAAAACCGACAAGATCAGTCTTCGTAACAATCGGTGGAATAAATATTTTTCAACGCTGTCTATTTGCCTACAGCCTGCTAGTGATGGATTCATTCCCTAAGATGTCCTGGGTATTTTTGAAACAAATCAGGTGTCTGGTAGCGGCTGTTCCAAAGTTCCAAATATCAACAATCATGATCAAAGTGGTCGTTTTAATGCTTCGGTTTTATAATCTTTGCTTTCCTGGATTTTTTTTTATTATTATGCTTTATTAGTGGATGAGTAGGTATGCCATTTTATTTCACAAACAGTAATGTGAGGTGGTCTCTCGGCAGTTCTTATTTCCGCCTGAACGTTCACGACCGTAGCTGTGACCATTTCGAATATCGATTTCCGTAATTCCACAGTAAAAAGGTTCATCAAATTCTTCTAGCTGCACGCCAGTCTTAATTACTCTTAAATAACGTTTTAGGAGCCTTTTATCTGAGTAAGACGTTATTGATAGTGGACCAGCTCCGCAACGAAGCTATCTGTGTTGTCGTGTTGCCGGTTCTAAACTCACTCAGCCAGCGATCAGGGCAACACACGTTACCAACACAAGTTGCTGCAACTTTTGTTGCCAAAAGCTGTCATACCGAGACAACATTTTCGTTGTCGTCGATGTTGCGCTACTCTTGCCCCGATGCGACAGTTTCGTCGGACAACACGGGGGCGAGCAACAAGTTGCCCGAGTGTTGGACTACGTGTTGGGTTGCTATTTCCGTCGTGTTGCCTCAGTCTGACAGGGCGTCAAAGGCCCGTTCCCACACTTGAGACCTCTCAGAACCGAGTACCTTGGAATATCTCTTACGACGAGAGGACACACTGGCGCCATCTGTTGGGTAGCAGTGTAAACTTGCCGGTCCGGCATATTTTCTATTTCTCTCGCGCATTATCCTTTCATTATTGGCTCGGAGAACTTTAGTCAAAGTTATAAACGAGCCTTTCTCATAGGTGTTACGCGCACTTGATTTCGGAAATCCCGCCAAACCGTCGCTCTTGTGAAATGCAGTCCCAGGGTCGCCGCATAGATGGCGCCAGCGTGCCAGTGTCCTCAGAAATTTCAAGAGGTTTGAACAGGTCTCTCTCGGTCGTACTCGGTTGCAAAGAATGTGAACGGGCCTCGAGGCTTATGTCCCGGCGACTGGTGGTCGAATCATAAGACAACGGAAGAAAAAGTCAGCAAGCGCTCCCGCCTGAACGGGCCTTTCCGGTCCGTGTACCCCGAACTGCTGTGTGCTGACATCCTTGGCCACCGCTTCCCGTGTCCAAGGGTATTCTTGTTACCGCAAATTTATTACCCGCGAATCAGTAGTACTTAACGTTTACAACATTTAGTATAATTCACTCACGACAGTCATAAATCACCCTTGCCCATCTGTGTAGACCAGGGGTCTCCAAAGCCCGGTCTGCAGATGGCCGCTCTGCTGCGGTCTTTCCAGTGACGCCCTGCAGCAAAGCCAAAACACGGCGCCGCGACGTGCACTAGAAGCGTAATATTTATTGTTCCTCGTGCTCCACTGTCCATAATCCCCTGTTTCATGTTTGTGTAACTGCGCTAAAATTTATTTGCGTTCTCTAGTATATCGTGCTTATAGAGGCCTGTGTCATAAGTCTCGCATATTGTCATCATCGGGTCTAGCGTTCTCATTCGTCGTCTGCCCGTGTGAGTACGCAGAAGTTCCTATGCACTTTTATTTGTGGTTAGTGAGTTTTCCGGGTGAAACTTATTCTGTAATGTCATAATTAGCGCCGCGTTCAGTTTAAAAAATAAAGCGTAAATGTAGTTGTTCATCCTCCTGAATAAAAAAAAGAATTGCTCTATATTATATTTTTGTATTTAAATGCTTATATAGGTATATTTATTAATGCGAAAGCTTTAACTATGTTGGGTGAAACCAGCTGAACAAAGGAAGGAGGATGACAGGAGAAAAGAATGGCGGATCGATCGCTGGACTACCAACTGTTTTATTACATCTTCCTATCCTTCTATTCATTTATGGCCATTCCTCCTTTTTTTCTTTTCTTTTCCATTGCTTTTATTTTTTGCCGAAGGGGGTCGTTTAGAAAAAAGTTTCTCTTTGGCTTGCAAGGCGATTGAAGGAATGCTCACGCACTTGTCATATTCTTCGTCTCTCTATAGCAAGGTTCTCTAACACCTCCCTCGCAACCTGTTTTTTATGGTGTCCTATCATGTGAAGATGGTCGAACCCTGCTTTATATTGGCATGTCCGACAATAGGCGGCTAAATGTTCTGGTACCACGAGGTTCCTAAGGTTTGCTGCATGTTCGCGCGCTCGGTCGCTGATACATCGACCGGTCTTTCCGATGTAGCAGGGCCCACATGTTAGCGGTATGTTATATCTAACTTCCTTTTCACAGGGAGCGTATTGTGGTCGGTGCCTGGTGTTACACTTTTCTTTAGTGTTGATTGGTGCCCGATTAATTTTGCGGCACATTGAATATGCCTTATTAGGCGCCGAACGGAGGACTTGCAGGTTCTGCCGGTTCGCTATCTTTTTTTAGCTTATGGGTAACCCTGTGAATATATTATATATAGGATAACTACAAAGGGTGGTCTGGGTTTTTTTGTTCGTTGACTCGTAACGTTATTTTTCTTGATGGTGAGGTATATTTTCTCACAGATGGAGGCCATCGTGGGTTTCGGGTATCCCGCATTATGAAGTCGAGACATTTGGGTGTCAAAACTTTTGTGAGACTGGATGTTGATATGATTTCTTTAGGCTTGCTGCGAGAGCTGAGATGGCCACAGCTTGCTTCACGTTCTATGAATGTTCCGATTCCTAAGAAAGAAATGCCTTCCCCGATCGTGCTTGATATTTCCAACGTACATGCCTCGTTTGGAATGTCAAAGCTAAATCCAGAAACCAAATGGAATTTTCCACAGGAGTAGACCCACGCAGCGTTGTTGGAACACTGTCACGGTGGTGTTGAGGACCCGTCTTTTTTTTCGTTAATTTGTGCGGTGCATAAAATAAGAAAATTGTCCACGTATATAAAGATTGCCGCTATGCGCGTATTTTTAGGACGTCCTGGATGGCTCGTCCACAGATGGCAAAAAAACTATCCGCATAAAAGTGGAGCCACTAGTGAGCCAATACACACACTCCTCTTTTGCATGTACTGGTGTTCTTGGTGAGCTACTACAGTGGCTGTAACCGCCACAAAAGGCGAAAGAAATGCCCATACTCCCATTGGCTGAGGGAAACGGCTCCTGGAAAGCCACTGGCGGCCGCTGCAGGAGAGCGCGCGCTCGGCCGCCGCTCTCGTCTCGGCCGTTGACTGGGGCCCAGAGAGAGCTTCTGCTCCTCTCGGCGTCGAGGAACGTGGCGGCGCCTGAGGCATCTGCATCGCCGGCGGCCGCAACCGCGCCAGTAGCGAAACGTCCACGCCACGACGCCGCAGTAGAAGTAAGGGAACGGAAGAACGACATTCGCGCTTTCGCATTCATAACTCATGGGAAGTGCTTAGGTATCTGCTTTCCTGTTAGCAGGGTAATATCTTTTTCACAATTTCTTCATTTTTATTAGGTTATTTATTTTCCGGTCCTGGAGACTGCGAGAGATCCCTATCCCCGTTTTCACCTCAAGAACCCTAGTAAAAGGAGTCCGGCTCCTCGCGGAACATTACTAATTTCCCCCTTTATTTAAAGAATCAAGATATGCGCAGGTGCATCTTAGATTAGGTATGTGTTACCTAATCAAGAAATGCACGGGTTTGAAACGCAAAAGCATCGCTTTTTCCTCCGACAACCAAATCTTGTAAGAACTACTTCTCCCGGCGTATGAACAATGCGCAGAGCCTCTTTTTTTCTTGAGGTGAACACGAGTATAGACCTTTTCCGCTTACTCTCGCCCCCGACCGCCAAGTAGGCATATCCGGTATGGGCGACAAAAAAATATCAGAACGTTTCAACCTGCAAACAGTAAAAAAATAGAGGGGAGGCAAAGCGAGAATGTGCGACGGTTACGTTTACGCCCTAAATGCCTTCTGTTGGCGTGGCGACGGCAAAACAATCTTTTCGCCCATACTGGAAGTGACGACAATTCAAGATGGCGACGCGCTTGCGAAAAACGTCTATAGTCGGGCCCTTTAACCGAAACGCTCGGAGACCCCTGCTGGAGACTGTCATTGGTGGAACGCGTATAAGTAGGCGGTATTTCGTTCGCAGCTGCGCATCTTCCGCGTAAAACCCCCGTGTAATACATAAAACAAATAGATCGCTATAAATGGGAATGTGTGCTTACAGTTTGGGTTTTGTTCCGATTCTCAATGATCCCGAGGCAGAGGTTCCTGAAGTAGAGAAGGATATCCGAGTTGAAGGCCCTCATTTTTAGCAGTCTGAAGAGTCTCGGGAAGAAAACTGAAACATACAAAATAGGAAAGCAAAATAAATATTTTCAAAATTGATATCCTAAGATTCGTTTCCCACGGAATGCACATTAAACATTTCATCGCTTACGTCATTTCTAAGGCTAAATAAAACGTCAAAACAGCATCGATTCGATCAGGACCGCGAAAATAACCCTAGCATGGTCATCATGCGCACCAAAGTGACAAACTTCGACACGCACGCACGGGAATGATTTTGTAAAAAAAAAACTAAACTGCAATCAACTTATTATTCATAAATACCGATACACGTCAATTTGCTAGCATTTGCAACACCATTATAAAACAGTCATTTCCAACCATTTCATACAGCTATCATAAAGCATGACCTCGAGTGAAAAGCATATTCCTTTCATGCTTCAACATAGTGAGCGTTTATATGATAGTCAAATAAGATAGCAACATTTTGTCGCGAAGAGTTTTGTGTTCTGATGACCGAAATACTTCTGCTAACATTATGTACAATGCCTTATATTTTGAAGTAGATATGTGGGCAACAATCATATTTGGGATCATGACAAGAGTATAGGATCACCACCTGACACCGCTATATAAACAAATCAGGCTTCATATTGCACGATCGATTCTTCGATCGTCGTCTAATACGGGGTCGTCCTTTTAGAGCGCAGCTCTTAGGGGCCCGTTTCCGGCTTGAGCGGCGTCGCCGTCGCCGTCGGCGTAACCGCGAGGTCACGTGACCCCCCCCCCCCCCCCCCGAGGTCACGTGACCCACCCAAGTCTCGTGACTCCCCTAGGTCACGTGACCCCCTGAAGTCACGTGACTTCTGGGGTCACGTGACACCCCTAGGTCACGTGACCCCTAGAAGTCACGTGACCCCAGAAGTCACGTGACCCCTGAAGTCAGTCACGTGACCCCCTAAGGTCATGTGACCCCTTCAGGTCACGTGACCCCCGAGGTCACGTGACCCCCAAAGGTCACGTGAGCCCCTGAGGTCACGTGACCCCCTGAAGTCACGTGACCTCAAGGAGTCACCTATCCCTCAGTACGCTTCCATCTTCCTCCTCAAGAGCTGCGCTCTAACCGGCGTTACAGGGAATTGTAAACGGCTTTCATTTTTCGATTACATTAAAACATTCCAAATAGTTCTGGTCGAACTAGAACGCATCAGCATGTCTAATACTTTGTAAATATATTCGATGACTATGCCGGTATCGGACTATGCTATCAACTTTCCAACTTTGCTGGGATGGATGGGGGTGTTTATTTTACTACGAATCCAGAAACGAGTTGCGGAGTGAAATGAAGCAAGAAGTATACGAGCGAGACTCAATAAAACTTGCAGACACCTGTGAGAAACACAACAAAAAATCTGAAGGCGTCTATCATATGGTGAATTCCACTCGTAGATCTGGAGTGCTTTCCAAAATCCGCGAGGGAGGCAAAATTCCGCTCCGTGGGACCCGCTCCGTATCGACGAGGGGAAGATAAACTTGCATTTTTGGAGCGACCTCCCCCACACCCCTCCCCACCCCTTCTCCTTCCGCCGTTCAAAATGGCCGCTGCTCGAACTTGACCAGCCCACCAACGCCTCAGCCGGCTGATCTTTCCGACGAGCAGTGACGACTGTCACTGCTTAGCTGCAGAAGTAACACGCGACACAGGCCGGGCGGAATTATACGTACCACGGCGCCCATGTCACAAATAGCGAAGACGTCCGCGTTCGGCACCGTCACATACCTTTCGGCCGCCTCGAAGCGGCGGGGCACGGACAGCGATTGCCAGCGGTGGAGTTCAGATTGCTAGTACGACTTTAATAAACACAGAGGTAGCAAACCATCACTTGCGCGGTCGTTGCCTAACCACTTCTTGCTTTATTTCACGGGAAAACGCCGATGGAATGCAGTGTAAAAAGGTAAACAATCACTGGCTGCAGAATGAATAGGCCTAACCTTCCGTCTGCCTCCGGCTTTTCTGTCGTTCTTCCTCGGTGATCACAGATGTCAGCGCTTACGATTTGCCACGCTCCACATTCCCGGCTTTTTATCCCTGATCTACGCGAGGTAGAAGCGTTCGAGCCGTCACAGTCCAGAGTAAACAACCGACGCACCCGAACAGATCCAACTCCACGACCCGACGGTGCGGCGTGGCCCGACCGGCCCGCCGATCTCTCCAACCTCGCCGCGCATGCGCACCGCCGATTTAGACGGAAATCACGTGGGCCGCTCTGTCAATTTCCGGAGAGATCTGTGAAATCCCGCAGAGCAAGTTCGGCGGAGTTTGGGGCGCTCCGTGGAGCGGGCGCTGCCAGAGATCTACGAGCGGAAGATGACCAACTTGAGCCAGATCTGCGAGCGGAATATGCGCGCTCCAAATGGAGCACTTTTGGAGCGCTCGAGATCTGCGAGCGGAATTCACCAATAGACAACACCTAGGCATCCCTGTAAAACTGTAGATTCTAGGGGCTCACAGAAAAGTGGAAGGGGATGAATATTAACATATAGTTCAGGTGGCATGAACGAGGCTAGAAAAAGACGAAATAAGAGAGGGGGTAGACAACGTAGCCTATGTTCCGAGAAAAAAAAAGAGTGAGCTTGGAACCTCAATCTAGATAAGCCTAAACAAAAGTTCAGCCCCGAACGTGATTGTGCCAGCATCCGGAGCGAATAAGGAGGCTTAAATCCTGAACATTTCAAATAAAAGCGTCGGGATATTGAAAACAAAAACACACATGCTTCCAAGTGAACCCTGCATGGTGCAGTTGTAAGGCCTTGTTCTACTTACAGAGACAGACTAGTCGCAGCGTTATTTTGCCCGAAAAAGCCTGCCTGGCTTTGGTGACAAACTCGTTGCTCTGCTCAGTGTGCGAGTCCAGTCGGGTGCCGAAGGCGCACCTGGCAATCACATCGAGGGAGTAGTTGCCATAAAATCTACAAAAAATAATTGAATGTTAACAAAACACAATACTTCATAGTAATAGGATTACCTTAAGAGCTACGTATTCGTTAGGATTTACCAAATGTAATTGACTCGCTTCCCGAGTCAGCTCCAGACACTACGTACAAAGACATACCACCGGATGAAGGATTGTAAGGCATCAGGTTAGGGTTAGGGGGACCTTCTCGAGCGTACCTCACAGTTTGAATTGTAACACAATAATTCATAATATTCACATTACCTTAAAAGCTAGGTATTCATAAGCAGTTAATAAATGCAATTGACTTGCTTCTCCAAAACCCCTATACTTCACACAAAAAGCGCACACTCCTAATTGAAACATCTTAAGGCATCTACTTGGAGGATCTTCTCAAGCCGACCTTAGCGAATGCTTAGAAGGCTCGGAAACAGTCGAGCATATGTCACAGTTTCAGGTTAGTGATGCCACCCAAGTGTCGCAAGGTTCTGACCCAAAGCCAGGTTTCCCTATTTGTATTTTGGGCAAATTTAAATAAGTCATTCGCACTTTTATCAGATATTTTATGATTCTTCCATCCCCGAATCAAACCTTTCGTTATTTTTGCCGTCGTCTTCGCCAAGTTATTCCTCTCGGGAGCTGAGCCAAAGCAGCTTTAAGTTATCCCCTGATCATATTGTAGGGTCCGCACGCACCGCTAGGCGCGTCCGGTCTCAAGAATAGAAAAAGAGAAAAAAAAGGGCAGGTGTGAGCTCCACGCTCCCGAGGATCATGAGTTCCTTCCCAGACGCCACCGCAATCCAACGCTTCGGATGGCCGTCTCCCGCCTGCCCCTTCAGCCGTAACTGCTGACCCGGACGTGATAGCAAACTGCAGAAATGCCGGAAGAAGAGCCATCGGGTCCGCCGCAAGTCGCTGTTGCAGCAGCCGCAGTCCGCCTCCCACCGCACTGGGACTGCGATCTGCGAATAGACCGATCTCACGAGGAGTTGCGCGACGCCACCGCTGCCGCGGTGCATTCTGGTACCTGTAGTTCTCCCCAGTTTTCCGGCCGCGTCGGCGCGCATTGTACGCCCGGCGTTTGGAAATTTTCGGGTTAGCACGAGACTTTTTAGCCAGGTGTTGACTCAAGGTTTTCAATGGGTGGCTTCACGTGTTGTATGCCACGGAGCTATAATAACAGCACCAGGCAAAGAGGCCTCGGATATTATGTCTTCCCTCAAGAAAGAAGCATGGCAAAGAAAGGTCGACAGAGCCGGACAGAGCGGCAGGAAAAATAGCGTTTTACGATTTGTTTCGCGATTTGATTCATAATTTATATACAATTATTGCACGTCAGCTAAAATATGTAAGATTACAGGGCACGAGATATACAGCGTGCCGAAGTGTTCCGTAAGCTGGAATCTCTCTGACCATTTGCTCCGTAGCGACCTATCCGTTGGTCTATCTCAAATAAGACCTCCGCACTGCTTTGCGGAGGCCGTTTTTAACACACTTCTTACTCGGTGTATTTTGGTGGTTATAACCGGTATTGCGACGACATGTTTCAAGCACAACTGTGCTTCAAAAGATCAGGACAATCACTAAAAAAGAGCAGCGATTCCCGATATGCACCACTTGATATAAAACAACTTTTTTTCGGAAGCAGCCTTGAGTTGTTTTTTTTTTCATACCTACGCGAAAAGATTACATAATGCAATTTAGAAGTGCAACACGTACTTACCGCCAAAAATGTAACAAACGAACCTCATCCATTTTGTGGTGGTCTATTCGGCTGGTGTTACTGATCCATTCTGCATTAGCACCAGTTGAGACCGCAGAAAAAAGCTTTCCCCGTCGGGCGACTGTTAGCGTTCGGATCTTGCGCAAACAAAATAAAAATGAACAGAAACTGTGCACGAAAAATCATCTCCACCCAAGCTTTCAGGTATATGGCATGGTTGCTTCTTTTTGATAGATGCCAATTATTACGGCGTGTCAGGCATGGCCTTTCTGTAGATCCGTTCTTTGTGTGCAGGCTTCTCTTGCTGTTCATCAGTACTCTCGCACAGGCTGTCAACCAGAATGAAACAGCTTCTAGAAAACTATCGCTGACCGAGAAAGTCTATTTAGCTTCTCTTACTTGATGGCTGATTAAACGGGTTGCACAAGACTGAGCACCACCAAGCTCAGTTTTTCATCACATTTGATGCTGCTCCGTGGTGCTACACCGAGCCGATTGTCCCTCGAATTTTCTTGTTCTTTGCTATTGCACTATATGTTCACTTGTTTGCAAGGTAATTGAGACGTCCGAGAAGTCGGAATGCTCGAGTAGTGGCGCCGTTGTTTTTTTGCTTTGTTTTTTCCGCGGCCGCAGTGGGATTACCCCGCGAAGGGCAGTGGGCTTACGCATTCACGAAGACGAAGAAGCAGACGACGACGAAGCAGACGACAAAGCGATTCTAAAGCGATAAGATGACTGGAACTGCTTTTCTGCACTTGCTGAGGAAAGTAAGGCATCACAAACAACACAATCTTATGAAGTAAAAACATGCAAGAGAATCAAGGTGATACCGGGGCGTGCCAAATGATAATCTATGATGATGTACGTACGCGCAGCCGTATGTAGCCGGGAAGGGATGACTACAAGTAGCATGGCGGCGGCACCACTTCCGGAATGCGCGCGCCTGCGCAGTTCGCTTGGCGACATCGGTCTATTGGGTTCCTGCAGGCGGAATCCCAATTCCCCCTCGCAGGGGTAACCAGATCGGGTGAAAGGACCAGGCAGGAGACGGCCGATCCAAGGGCGTTGTATTTCGGTGGCGTCTAGGAAGGAACTGATCCTCGTGAGAGGAGAGCTCACGATTTTTTTTTTCTGTTCTTGAGAATGGACGCGCATAGCGGTGCGTTCAGTGCCCGCAGTATTAAACTAATAAAATATCTGTCCTTCTGCTATTTGTATTTTAACCTCCCCGTTCAGAATGCCCTCTGAAACCTTTAAAGGACCCATGAAACGAATTTTGGGCTGGAGTAAATCAATTTATATTGGGATTTTACTAATAGCACATCGTTGAGTGGGCCAAAAGAACAAAGGTAGAAAGTAAGAAGCCTGACTTTCGCTACGAAAATTTGCAAAACATAGCGGACTAATTCGTACCTCCTTCCCTTCGTAAACTCTCCGCCTTTTCACTGTGATACATCCGCGGACCCCGCAGCGCGTCACCGGGCTACTAGCCACCATAACCGGGCCCCCGCAGCGCGTCACCAGGGCCCAAGCGCACGTCACACGACACCGGACCTCACTTAATCCCTTTACCTCTAAGCTGACATGGCGGTGGAAGCTACGCGCTTGCCGGACCAATCAGCCGTCTCCCTTTCATCACCTGTCCTCATTCTCTGCGGGTCGGTATGCGCGAGAGAGCATGATCACGTGGAAAATGTGTGGCTGGCCCAACGAGCACGTAGCTTCCACAGCACTGTCAGCTACGGGGTGAACGGGGTGGGGAAAGCAACTATACTCCGTTTCACCTTCAGTCCGAGCGCAGTCGACGCCACGAGCTATTCCAGCCGATCCAGCACCGGGAAAATATCGCGTGACCTGCCGGTTTAAACGTAAACATTTTTGACAGAGGTCTGTGGTCTGCCGCAGAGGACAGAGGTCTGTCGCTCTGCCCCACCTGCCGGTGGGGCAGAGCGACGCAGGGAGCTCAAAATCACATAAGACTCTCTCCCCGCTGGATTGGCTGGGATGGCTCGTAAGGTCCGCTGCGCTCGGACTGAAGGTGAAACGGAGTATAGTCGGAATTTTGAGCGACGGGCTAATCTTCTAGGGGGACAGTGGCTGTGTCCGGCTAGTCAAGCGAGATTCCGAGCAAGAGGGGACTCCCCCCTTTTCGACTTCTTGAACTGTTTGGTACAATGCGTGATTTATGAGTTGAGGAGGAAAGCTAAACAGAAAAAAGTTGAAAAAGCGTTTCATGACTCCTTTAAGATACACACAAACAAAAGAATTACGATGAGCACGAGCAGCGCGATTTTAAAATCTGTTTATTCAACTAAAAAGAATAGGACTACGGGTCCACGGCAAGCAAAACAGTTTGAAAATCTTCCTTCCCCTTCTCATTTTTATTTGTAATTGTTGTATCTCAAAAAAAAATTTAACGCGTCCGTCATTTTTTTGTTTTGTTTTGAATGAATATATATATATATATATATATGTATGTGTGTCTGCGTGTGTATTCAATAGACACAAATACAATTTTTTTAATAAACACTGAAATATAGAAGCAAATGCCGATTTTCACTCACTGTTTAAGGTCCAGTTCTCCCCCTTTTTCAGCTGTTTCTTTCAAGTGTTCCGCTGTTTTTCGAGCACAATCAGCGATCAAATTATTCATCTGTAAGAATATATCAATATATATATTTTTTTTCTTTTGAAAATGACGTTAAACACTTGGGACTGGGATACAGAAAACGAAAACACTCAAAAGTTGATGTGTAAGAAAGGAAAAGTTAGAAAACGTGCTAAACTTGCACTATTCACCTGAACTCTCAGTGTTCTCTTTATGACCTTCGAACTTTGCTTAGAATCTACCCTTTCTGAAACTAGAATTCTGATCTAACAGGAGGCATTGAAGTGCTTCCGATGTTACAGTGCACAAAGGCAGACATACATTTTGCAGAGGCACAGAAAAGGCGGACACTCACACAGCGCTGTTTTCTGCCGTTCAGCGCTGCGTGACTATCTGTTCTGTGCCTCTGCAAATGGCGTCTGCTTTTCTGCGCTGTAACACAGGACGTATGAACAACCAACTCGCCCAAGCTGCACTGTTAACATGCTTAACTGAAATGCTCATTAACCAAAAAAAATGTAGAGGCCAATATGATTGATCTTTGTTCCTTATACACAAATTAGCCTACTACTTAGCTCTCAAAACGAATGGAAATTTGTTGGATATCTGTCCAGATCTAAATACTCTATGTCGTTTTTCTTCTACACTGTAATGAAGGTCCTTCTTATGGTGACATTATGTTTATTTTTGAGTAGTTGAGTAGTGTTATGCTCATAGTGACGCGCATAAAATAGTGCAGTGCTCATTTCTAACTTTACCACTGTGGAGAGATCCACCATTTCGTGTCTTTCCAACGCACTGCGGAGGTTGCGAATGACACGTACCGCTATTAAATTCGAATCTCTCTTGGCACATTCCTATTCGTAAGATTCTATCATTCATTCACACCGAAGACGTCACCAAAAAAAGGAAACGAAGGGATTGAAGTGCGCCTGTACGCACCGCACTAAGCCATTCTTGGAAAACCCCGTTCCTTTTGTTTATTTCGACGACGAATGGGCTATGCTTGGCTCCGAGCAGTGTCCTGCTGTGAACGAGAATTTTTCGAACCAACTCGTGTCCGTCACGAAAACATTCGCCATTATAAAAAGCACACGAGGGAAGGTGGAAGTGCCCTGTTTCGAGCCTTTATGCTAACGCCCAGATGCCGGAATTGAAATAGAACGCGTACGCCACACAAGTTTCCAATCCTTTTTTCCATCTTTCGTCTTTCGCCCGCAAGCCTATCCTTCTAGAGGAGGGCTCTTGCAACACCTTGGACAAGGGAACTTCTGCGGACTTCTGGCCAGAACATTATTTGTAGGAATCTGGCAGGCACTCTTCTCACCTGCATCATAATTAATGTGTTATTAGTTCAGCAAAGGCCCATAACATCCCTAGCAGTTACGGCTACCTGGAACAATTTTGAAAAATTGAACGCATGTTTTTCCGCTCGCTTTATAAAATTCACAAATTTGAGAATCTCGCCAAAGACAAATGTGTGCTCACAATTGGAAAACGCTACGAAGAAATGTTTATAATCGATCATGAGGCCCCTGTAACAGCTCAGAACTCTGAAGGTTGACTGAGTGAGAGAGTTAAAGCGTGGCGTTCTGATCGAGATATGGTGTAGCCTATCTTCTGGGAACCAAGTGTTCCCGCGGGAACCGGACAAAATGGCCCGGATAAAATGGCCGCAGACAAAATGTCACGGGAAAAAATGGTCCCCGAAAAAATGGTCCGAACAAAATGGTCCCAATTGTAAATCCAGAGAAAGCTTTCCCAAACGTTTTTGTGGGGTTTGTTCTTGCTCCTTATATTTTTTTATTAAGTCTATCCCAACATCTAAAAATGTAAATATGCGCAATATACCAAAACAAAAATCCAATTACAAAATTAATACTTTAAGTACAGTAGTTAGTTTTAAGTTTGAATTGGAACTTGATGCTGGTAATTAAAACCGACCAGTGTAATATTTTCCTTTCACTGAACTACACAAAAAAAAAACTGGTGAAAAATGTGCGTGATGAATGCCTTTCACTCATCACGTCTTATAGTTTTTTTTTTGTTTTTTTTTAAACACGGAACTTTATTAACGTCTTTAAGATTAATTGCAACGATTTTAGGATTAAAAGAATCGGCCTCTCTTTATTTTTACGTTGTTTATCCTATCCCCGGAGGATAGAGAAGACATGTCCTTCATTAAAAAATGTCGCGATTCCGCTGCATAATCGCAAAGCCAAAGTCGAGCTTTTTCCCCCACCTAAAGCCGCGAGTGGCGGCCAACGGAACTGCGGCGAGAAGCTTAGGTGACCTCGCTCCGCTCTAAGCTGCAACGTAACGCGCGCTGATGCCAGCAGAGAGAGAGAGAGGAAGCGTCCTTCGAGAGAGCACGTGGGAACCTACACGGCACTATGAATGACGTCACTAGGAGGGGGACCAAATGTGACCCTGAAGACTGGGAGCGAGTGGAGGGGTGCCAAAAATGCCAAAACTTGTCTTTTTTTTTTTTTACACAACAATTAGGACACGCAAGCGAAATCGGTTTTTTCTTCTTGACTTCAAAAGTGTCAGAAGGCAACTTCCAGAAATGTTTGACTGAAGACCGGATAGCTTTTAAAGTAAAACATTAAGTTCACAAAAAGTAACTATACCGCATCGAATTAAAGCTGACAGCGGGAGCTCCGGAAGAGTTGTATTAAGCAGCGGAATAGTATATTGTTTGTTCTAGTTGGTTAATCGACATAATGAAAAAAAGAAAAGCGCGAAATAGACGGTATAAAGTCGAAGAAGCGCACGTGGGAGAGGCGCCTGTCTGGTGTATGCTTCCCCGACTTTGTCCGGTTTCTTCCGTGTTTTCGTAATGAGAGTCAACGTTCGAGCTCACTGGCATCGCCGCAGATGTAGTGCGGCATTCCCACCGGCAGTGTAAGAGCAGCATTACCAGCGGACGCACTCGATTTCATCATGAAATGCGCGTTGATCTTAACTGGATGTTGAAGCGTTCGCCACCGCCTCGCGAAGGACCCCAGAACCTCTCTGATTTATTAGGTATCGGACAGCCTTGGAACCACGAAGATGCGAACCCCTCCGCCGTAGGCCCCTACAAGAACTGTATTATAAGAACATTAAACGTCTGTTTAGTACAACTACAGAATAGCACTTCACATAATATTAAAGAGTGTCTGAAATTCACTCGGGACTATTCTGTCCGGAATTGCACTAGGGATTATCTTGTTACGGGTCATTTTGCGTGGGCCATCGTGTCCGGGTCCATTTTGTCCTACATTCGTTCCCCGCATCCCTATCTAAGCCTCGCTCAAGCAGGGCGTGGCTGCCTCTGTGTCGATTGCGCTAACCGGATCTCCCTTCTCGGGTGAGCTGCCACCCTTCGGGACCATTCCTACTTGGAAGCGTCTGCTTTTCCGGGGAGCGAACCTACTACCGTCGCTCAATCATAGGCGCGTCCATTTCCCGCAGGCAACACAAGCCGATCCAAAACAACGGCCGAGGGCTCTCGGCAGGGGAGTGCCTTGCTCCACGGAGCTCCATTTGAGGCTCTTCCCCTTCCTCGATGTGGCAGGACCGGTGGTCCTGCCACATCGAGGCAGCGCCGGTACTTCGGACTTGGGAAAAGCGTGTTGGCATCTTATGTCGATAAACGCGTCGTTCCACGGGCCCACACGCTTACTGCGTTTTTAGGTGTATACCCAGAATCTTTAAAAGCTACTGATAGGGGTTTATGACGTGTCCGTGACAGATTTCGATGTATGCATTTGTTTCATTGTTTCTCACTTGATGCGCTAACCTCACAGTGTATAAGGACGGACTCGACTATCAGCGGGCTTATTGCGTTTACCCGGAGGTAACGTAGCGTGTAGCAACCGCAAAATAACACGACGGTCGTGGCCGAACAGGTTAAATATCAATTTCGTGTAATCCAACTTGACATCAAACAGCCCTGGAAAAGTACATTTTTCTTCATTTCCAAAAAGCCAAAGCCACGCCTCGAAATTTCACGAGATAAAATCCACAACTAAACAAATGCTTCGACAAATACTTGAGCTCATACTCGAGCATATCACTTCTTGCCATTCGTGATAAGAATAGACTGGGCGTAAGAGAAACAGCCTTCTTAAATAACGCTCTAGTCAGGGTAGGTTTCATTTACACTGGGAAAAAATGGTTGGAAAGGAAATCATAGCGCAACACGTCGTTAGGATAAACCCTTCCTCCTTTCCTCATTTTACATTCGGGAGCCTGTTTAGCCCGTAAACGTAAGTTCTGTAAAATGCCAGAAAGAACCAGCATATAGGCAAAACGCGTCTAGCAATAAAAATGCGACCCGTAGATTTCATGAACCTACCAAAGTCGAGACTCTGTGGTGACCAAACAAAAAAACAGGAAATAAACAAAAAGAAATAAACGTTTAATGTGGCGAACTTGTGCCAAAAAAATAAAGAAGGAAACAGAAGAAAGCAGAGCGTCGCGGGCGTCGAAGTCGGCGTGTCAGCAGAATCGAGCGCTGGGGCGAGACTGACTCGACAAGGTCGCGGTCGGCCTGTTATCTAGAGTGCGTCGCTATCTCGAAGATTCGGCGAAAGCGGTTCGAGCGTCGCGTGATCGGGGCGAGAATGAACACGCACTTTCTAGAAAACAAATGCAGGGATAAATGATAGAAGTTACGTGCGGTACATGAATAAACGGCAACTTTCTGGAGGACCGTGACCGAGCGTTGCTTTCTCAGCCTTGCGCGCGGCATTACTCCCCCCTTTAAAAGTGCATCGCCCCGATGCAGTGTAAAACAAAAATAAAAAAAAAGAACGATAAACTAAAGAGTCTTTTGGAGCACAAAAGGTCCACAGTCCTATCGAGCGTAGTACGGCTTCAGGCGCACGACGTGGACGACCTCAGGTCGTGGTGGGCGGCGTGACGATGTTCGTGTTCCGTCGGGCATCACCTCGTAGTTCAGCTCGCCGAGGCGACGAAGTACCTTGTATGGTCCAAAGTACCGTTTCAGCAGTTTCTCACTGAGGCCGCGGCGACGGATGGGCGTCCATACCCAC